TTTTTTTCACTTTCACAAATAACCATATTACAAAACTTTTCGTAACAAGAAAAATTTCAAAAACCATCGCAGATTTTATCAAATCATTCAGTGAAACATTAAGAACAAAAAGTTCATGTGGATTGTTCCTATCGCTTGGAAGAATTGTTCAAGTTTAATTTATTTTTTCTGCATAGCTGCAGCTTGACCATTCTGTTGTCCTTGTCCGCCGAAGGGGAACTGATTGAAACCTGGGAATCCTTGGCTTTCAGCTTGTTGAGGGAAACCTTGCTGGAAGCTGTCGTTTTGTGAAGCTTGGTCATGGAAACCATTGCTTACGGCACCTTGTCCTACAGGAGGGAAGCTGCCATTTTCTTGTTGTTGTCCCTGGAATAGACCATTAACGGAGTCTCCTTCTTCGGTAGAGTTTGCAACTTCTTCATATGGCTGATTTTGTCCAAACTGAGGGAATGGATTGAATCCACCATTTTGCTGATTTCCAAACGGAGGATATGCTTCGTTTTGCTGTTGTTGCTGATTCCAGGGTTGGTAGCCACCATTCTGTTGCTGACTCCCAAATTGTGGATATCCTCCATTTTGCTGGAATCCGCGAGGGTAGCCGTATCCAAAACCTTGTTGGTTTCCAAATTGCGCATTGCCTCCATTCTGTCTCTGATTTCCTCGGAAACCTCCATTTTGTGAGTTTGGATAACTCTGTCCATTGAAGTTGTTGGGATAGTTTTGTCCATTCAGTTGATTCAAGCCATTCTGCAAGTTGCTGGGATAGTTACGATTGTTCTGAAATGCCACTCCGAACTCTTCACTGCTGGCAGAATTCTGCAATTTATATAAATTAATCCCAAGAATAAACTAAAATTTCTCTTGCTCTATGTGAAAATTGTGAAAAATTGAAAGTTTAGTATCATTTATATCAGCAAGAAGCTACCATTCCCGCAACTAGTTAATTGTACAGGTACGCTATTTTGTTTCGAATTAACTTACTTTTGAGGGGAAGGCGATTGCGGTGGCGAGTAGTGACGAAAGAATGAAATACTTCATCTGAAAAAGTAATTACAACAAAATTTAAGCGCTGCTAGAAAACGAAAGGGGTCGCGGATTTTAAGAAGGTCAATTATTCTGCCATATCTCAACATGTAGCTAAAATTTCTCACTTGCAAGTCCAAACTATTTAGTAAATCATACCAAGAGAATCAGAGACTCTTAGTTCTGGAGACTAAACCTTCTTGATTAGCGTTGGATAGGTGACGTTAACAATTTATGTTTATTT